TAAAGATTACAGCCTTGGAAACCCCGTGGGGCAGTTCTACTCTGTCCTATAGTCACTATGAGTCAGAATCGACTCCATGACAATGGGTTTGGTTGGGTTTTGAAGCTTTCCTGTAAGTTCTTCCTCAAGTCCACCTGGAGTCTCTCCTGATTTCTAGAGAATCCGCTGGGTGGTGTTTGTGACGTGGGTAGGGATGTTCAGAGTGGAAGGAAGTGGGAGAGAGGGAGGTTTTGAAAAAGCCTGCAGTGGAGTCCCTGTAACTGCCTCTGATGCCCCGATACTCTCTCTGCACAACAATCTCCCCCACTCAGTGACATTCACAACCCCGTGTCACACTCACTGTCCAAATTCAGCTCAGGTGGTGGTGGCAGGGAAGGAGATGAGCTGGGAGACATGAAGCCCCGGGCCATTGCTTTCTGGCGGGGGGGTCTAGGGAAAATCCCTTAAAACTGACACAGCTTGGAGTTCCTCCTCTGTAAAGTGGGGGTGTAACGGTACCAATGTCATGGGGTAGATGGAGGGATTCAGAGCTGATAAGGTGAACGCCTAGGGCAGGGCCTGGTACAGAGGGTGAGCTCAGGCCCTGGAGGCTGGGGCCGATCCTGGTGCAGGGCCCCAAGACCTTAAAGCCCCTGCTCGATGAAATCATCCATTGCCTCTCACAGTGCCCACTCCCCCAATCCCCATAGCTGTAGGAAAAGACAGAGGAGCAACCCCTCTTAGGGTGGCCCCCTCCAACATCACAGCTTTCGCAGCCTGCCAGGTGTGGAGGGGTCTCCCTTGACCCCCAGCTTACACTAGGCTGGGAACTGGCCGGTAGCTGCAGGGCTGGGCCAACTGACCCTTCCTCCAACCCTCACACAAGGAGCCGCAATGCCCTTCCCACTGCTGGGTGGGCTCCTGTATAGACAGGCACTTACCTGCTCTGTTACGATGGCCTCTGGCCAGTGAGTGCTGGGAGGCATGGGTGGAGGGTGGTATAGGCCTCAAACCCCAGGACAACACCCTCCCTCCAGAGGTACTCAGGGCTCCAGCTTTCTCCTCCCTCTCTGGGCCACTGTTTTCTCAGTTGTGACCCAGGACAGTCGGCTCCTTCTCCCCTCTGGGTCCTACCAGAACATTCTGCTAAGATTCATCTTCTCAAGGTCTATCTCTGCAAGCCTCCTTCTGCTCAAGAATCTTCCATGATGCCCCATGGCCTTCAGAATAAAGTTCTCCCAGAGCAGGGCCAGAGTCTGTCTCTTCAGACTTAGTGTCCCCACCACGCGCCTGCTGGTCCCACAGAGAGCCAATCACTTCCTCCCTCAGTGTCTCTGCTCAGGTTAGTCTCCCTGCCTGGAATGCCCTCCCCCCTTCTCTTCCCCTAGACTTTCAAATTGTTGTTGTTGTTGTTATGTACCAGCGAGTCAGACCTGACTCATAGTGACCCCTCCTTGGGTTTCCGAGGCAGTCCAGCGAGTCAGACCCGACTGTTAGTGACCCCTCCTTGGGTTTCCAAGGCTGTATCACTAAGGAAGTGGATTGCCCCATCTTCCTTCTGAGGAGTGGCTGATGGATTTGAACCGCCAGCCTTCTGGTTAGCAGTCAAGTGCCTTAGGCACTATGCTACCAGAGCTCCCAGACTTTCAAAGGCCAGGCATAAATGCTACCTCCTCCAGGAAGCTCAGGCTTCCTCCTCGGAGCTTCCATGGGCTGACTCTGACACCATGCACCTAGCACATGTTGGGCACATAGTAAGTGCTCACTGTTTGTAGAGTGAACTTGACTCCCCATGGAGATCCAGACCAGCTGTTCTCTTCCTGGATTTGGAATTGTCTCCCAGACTCAGGGAACATGAGGCAGGGGGTGCTTGAGGCCCCATTCAGGGGCACTTCCTATGTGCCAGGCCCAGGGCTGAACACTGTACTGCCTCTACCCTTGGGAATCTCATAACAGCCTGGTAAGGAAGACACTGTTGAGCTGCTTTGCAGACAGGGTGACTGAGGGTTGAAAGGACGTGGTCAAGGTCTTATTGTTCAGAGCAAGCACAGCAGGGTTGTGAACCCAGGGTCATCTGACTTCAGAAAAGCCACTAAAGGTCTGTCACCCTTCCATTTGGGGCTGTCCTTTGTCCCATGTCCTTTCCACCCATGCAGGGGCAGACACAAACTGAGTGAGTGAGTCCCCTACCTTGAGTGAGTCCCCTGCCTTCTCTGGGCCTGGATGTCCTGGTCCCAATGGCCTAGCTGAGCCAACTTGGGAGTGTGCCTTCTCCATTGTGGGCCTCAGCTCCCCTGCCTGTGAAACCAGGGAACAGGAACCCAGTATCATGGTTATATGAGCCAGCTTTGGAGCTCAATAAACACAGGTTTGAATCCCAATGCCACCACCTTCATGGGTCAATGATCTCACCTCATCAGGCCTCTGTTTTGTCATCTGCAAAATGGAAATTCTGAGTTTGGAATGTGAGTCCCACATGAACTGTTTCAGCCAGGGCCAGCCCTGGCCCCTGGAGGACCCCTTGGTGGGCTACTAGGGTAATTGTTTTCATCTGGGCCTGGTGGTTGCCAGATGCTCACGGGAGCACGCACGCACACGCGCACACACATACACACACATACACACCCTGACAGCCCGGAGAGTATGGGATGGGAGGGTGGAGTGGGTGGGGAGACAAGCTTGGAGCTTGGGCCCTTCCACCCCTGCTGTCCCCCCCAGGGCCCCCCACCCAGCGACAAAGCCAGTGGCACTTCCTCTAACCGCCTGGCAGGCGGCCTGGTCCAGCCCCTTTTCTAAGGAAGCGCATTTCCTGCCTCCCCAGCCGGGCTGGATGAGCCCAGAGCTCCCTGCCACAGACCGTCAGACCCCAGCCTCCATCCGTGTCCACGGACTGCCTCTGCTGCTGTCCACAGGAGCCAGCGCCTCCTCCCCGTTCGTCATCGGCCAGCTGGCTGCGGACCCCCAGCCCAGACCTGCGTCCCTGTGCCCACTTCTCCTGACCCCTCGGCCGCCCCTGCAGAAGGCTGGAGCAGGGACGTCGTCACTCCGGCCACCTGCTCCCTTCGGGTCCCCACGCGAGCCCACGCCAGCCCCCGCGCCCACCCGCAGCCCTGCCCCTGGACACCGGATAAGGCCCAGCGCACAGACCTCCAGGTGGACAGCATGGACCGCAGCTCACTCCCCCTGGTCGTTGCCTTCCTGCTGGCCATCAGCTCCACAAGTAGGTGTCCAGGACCCGGGGGTGGGAGACAAGGCCCAGAGAGGGCAGGGCTTGACCCCTTCACAGGGCCCAGGCCTCCCTGTGGCCAGAGCTCACCTGATGCCTTGCCTGGGAGGGCTGGGGGCTCTGGACATCCAGAGCTGGATACTGAAGGGTGACCAATATCCAGGTTTGCTGGCACTGAGGGAGTTCATGTACTTTTCAGTGCTAAAAAGTCAGGGCAAACTGGGACGAATGGGTCACCTTAACCACAGCCTCTCGCCTCTGCCCTCTCAGCTGTGTCCAGTTTCTCTCCAAGAAACCCAGGTTGCAGACCTGTGTACTACCCTCCCTGCTGTGTGGCCCCAGGAGAGTGCCCTGTTCTCTCTGGGCCTTGAGTTTTTCATCGGAGGAATGTGGGGGAAGGAGCCATGTGCCCTCAGGGCCTCATGTTTAGAGTGTAGGCTCTGGAGTCAGACTCTGACTCTTCCTGGGTGTGTGATCTTAGGAAACTGCCTTCATGCCTCTGAACCCCGGACCCCTCATCTGCAAAGTTAGGATGGTAATAAACTCCCCCCTTCAGGCCGTGGTGATGGGCGGTGGTGATGAGGTAATGCTTGTAGTGTGCTTGTTAAGAGAACTCTGGCATAGAGAACACTTTTGAACAGGCCTGCAAAGCACCCTCCCTCCCAGCTTCTATCCCTTTTTCTCTGTTTCCCAAGTGAATGACTGTGTAGGTCACATGAAGTGGATAAGGGTGTCAGCCCAGGTTAGGGGACCTGTGGGGGCTCCTCAGCCTGGGGGCTTTTCCAGGTAGTCTGAAACTCTGACCAGGGAAAGAGGAGAGGGGATCTCTCAGCACCACATGTGCTACCACTCACTGGGCGCCTCTGCTGTGTGCTGCCCCTGAACCACTTAACGCCCCAGGACCTCGCTGTGGACACCGTTTCACCCACCCAGTGAGACCAGGATCTGGAGTAGGAGGAGGGGAGGAGGGAGCCACTTGCCTGGAGAGGAGAGTGAAAATGGGAATAGTAGCAGTAATGGCCACCCACCCCTCAACTCACCCTCTCCAGAGCATTTTAAAGTGCCTAATCCTTGGTCTCTTTAAACCTCTTACCGATGCTCTATTGATAAAAGAGAAACCGAGTCTCAGAGAGGTTAAGTGACTTGGCACGGATTTGCCCCCAGATGTGTGGCACCCCAGAAAATTTGCTTCTAACCACATGTGATATGGCAACACTTCCTTCCTGAGATGCTCACAATCACCCTGCAAGATGGCGGCCATTATCATCCCCATTGAACAGGAAAGGAAATGGAAGCTCTGACCTACCTAAGTTCACACAGGACAGAGCCCTACCTGGGCACTAAGATGAGTCTCCAGGTGCACTCTGCCTTTCTTCCCCCTGCATCTTATCTATTTCTAGTTAGATAACACTCTCTTCCTCTTGATCTTTGGAGAAAGATCCATGCAGACGTTTGGGGTTTAGTTTTATAAGATAGTAAGCAGTATGGTATGCTGGTAACTAACAACCAGCTTGCTAAGGAAGCCTTTTTTTTGTAGCATTTGTCCATTTCCATGGTGTAAATACTCCCACATGGCTGGTTTCAAGCTACCAACTCACTAACTAGGAGCTCTGGTGGCGTAGTGCCTAACGCATTTGACTGCTAGCCAGAAGGCTGTTGGTTCAAACCCACCAGCCACTCCTCTGAAAGAAGATTGGACAATCTACTTCCATAGTGATATCGCCTTGGAAACCCAAAGAGGGGTCGCTATGAGTCAGATTCGACTTGACGGCAGTGAGTTAACTGCTAACTTAGAGCTGAGAAGAGACAGGCAGCAGCACATCATAATAGTGTTACGGCCAGATACAACAGACGCAAACAACCTTAGAGCTCAGAGGATAGTAAAATAATTAGAAAGTGATGAGTTTTTATATTTATTAGTTTTGTTTTTAATTCCCCAAATCAAACCCATTGAGTCGATTCTGACTCATAGTGACTCCTAAAGTGTTTCCAAGGCTGTAAGTCTTTATGGAAACAGATTGTCTCATCTTCCTCCCGTGGAGCAGTTGGTGGGTTTGAACCACCAACCTTCTGGTTAGCAGCCAAATGTCTTACCAACTGCACCACCAGGGCTCCTTTTCTTTTATTTTAATATAACTTACTTAATTCTAAGTTCATATAATTTAATTAATACTGGCTTGTTTAACAACTGGTTCAAAAAACTTCCTGAAGATGTATCGACTGCTCTTGCGAGCAGGTACGAGCTGGTTCCGGCACACCACTGACTGTAGGCCTCAAGGACCTTACAAGTTATCCAGCTCATTTACAGCCTGGGAAACCAAGACCCGGGAGGGCAGATGAGCGCATGAGTCAAGGTCTGGAAGCCAGATCTCCAGGCGGGGTGTGACAGTGGGAATAAGGCAGGCATCCTCATTCAGGCTGGAGAAGGTGGAAACAGGCTCCAAAAACGGGTCCAAAAACAGTGCCAGCCTTTTGTGGGCACAACATGGCAGCATCTCCCAAAGTCATAACTGTGAGAAATTCTTTGCCCCATCAACTCGGCTTCCAGGAGGCAGCCCTATGGAGATACTTGCCCAGCTGTGTAAAGATGCGTAGTCCATAGGTATCTGAAGCAAAAAGTAATAACTGAAATCACCTAAATGTCTACCAGCAGGGCACCCATTAAATTATTATGCAGCAATACACCATGCAGAAGTTACCAAGAAAGAGGCAGAGCTGTGTGTATACTGTTGTGGACAGATATCTGGGACACACCGTTTCCAAACAACACTGATTCCATTTCTGTGATAATAAAATGGCAATGATGCACAGTATGAATAGAGAAAATTCCAGAAGGATGTGTACCCACTGTTATTGGTCTCCAGGCAGGAGTTTCTTTAGGGACTTTCACGTTTTAATGTTTAGAACACGCTTTTCTGTCACGTTGGAATTTAGTTTTTATTTTTCTTAAGAACAAGCATATACAGACACACTTCAGGTTTTTTTTGCATTTCGAAGATATTGTATGTTTACAAATTGAAGGTTTGTGGGAACCCTCATTGAGCAAGTCTGTCGGTACCATTGTTCCAACAGCATGTGCTCACTTTGGGCCTCTATGTCATACTTTGATAATTCTCACAATATTTCAAACTTTTTCAAATGCTATTGCACATTTAATTGTATAAACACAGCTTTTATATGCACTGGGAAACCGAAGAACTCGTGTGACTTGCTTTATTGCAATATTAGCTTTATTGCGGTGGTCTGGAGCAGAACCTGCAATATGTCCAAAGTATGTCTGCAGATTTTTTTTTTTTAAGCACTTTAAGCATAGATTTGCCTCAGCCCATCCCTCAAAGAAATCTAAACCAAACCAAATCCACTGCTGTCAAGTCGGTTCCAACTCATAGTGACCCCACCGGACAGAGTAGAGCTGCCCCAGAGGTTTTCCAAGGCTGTAAATCTTTGCAGAAGCAGACTGCCACATCTTTCTCCCATGGAGTAGCTGGTGGGTTTGAATGACTGATCTTTTGATTAACAGCTAAGCTGCTTTAACCACTGCACCATCAGGGCTCAAGGCAAAAAGGAAAAATTATCCCTCAGACTCCCTTCTTAATACTGACACAATTAGCATGTTTCTGTTTAGCTTTTTCAGGTAATTTTAATCCAGTTGGATGAACATTTGGGGATCCTGGGTGCCCTTCTCTGTTCTAGAAGTTTCCACATTGTCATGTGGACTCCGTAACTGTCTTGTGTGGTTCTGGGATAACCTTTCCCTCAAGTGTGCCATTGTTTGCCTGATGAATCCCCTATTGCTAAATATTAGGTTGTTTCCCCTTTTGTCCTGATTATAAATACCACCGTGGGGCATGTTTTTGGTACATGCACCTTTCTCATATTTTGTATTCTTTCCTTTGGATAGAGTCCCAGAAGTGGGAGTGCTGGGTGTCATGGCCCATTTTGGGTGGCTGGGAGGAAGAGTATTCCCACGTGTTAATGATTATTCACCTGATGATGGGCCAGAGGTGCGGCTTGGGCCCCTGTGCTTCCAGCCACCTGTGTGGGGGTCTGGGGCTCACTGCAGAGGGGCTAGTGATGCAGGTCAGTGACCAGATAGATCCATCTCCAAAGGCTGCATGCAGTGCAGCTATCCATTTGCCAAGAGGAAAAAGAGGTTGGAGCAGGAGCTGTGCGAGCCAGGAAAGGGTGGGTCCCTGGGGACAGTGGGGACATGAGCATTGAGAGATCTTCATCTCAGCCAGATAGATGGCGCCACTAAGGCTCAGAGGGAGAAACGTGCTAATGGTCACTGGTGGGTCAGGGCCGGAGCCACTGAGGACAGCCTGATCCCTTTGCTTGGGGACCTGAGGTAGCAAGAGGGAAGAAACCACCTCTCCAGGGTCCTTAGTGCACCTGAAACCATGCTGGCATTTTGTCTCTCTTCCCAGTTCACAGATGAAGAAGTGGAGGCTTGGGGCAAGTGGTGGGTTCAGATCTGTACCCAAAGCTAGCTTCTTTTCCCTGCACCAAGCTTTGGTGACCTGGCCTATGGAGACTTGGACTGCTGATTTGTTCTGGGGCCCCACCCAAGCTCCAGCGCAGACTTTGGGGAATCAGCCTTGGAGGCTGAAGAGAAGTCTTCTCCAGGGCCCGAGCTTACTTTATACTTGTGTGTGGCAGGGGTGGAGAAGAATGTAACCACTAGCATTCATTCAGTGCTTATTCAATATGCCAGACACCACTCTAGACATGATCTATGTACTATCAGATTGAACCCTCACAAAATCCCTGTGTGGTAGACAGTCCTGGGGCACAGGGAGGTGAAGGAATTTGCCGAGTCAACACAGCCCAGAAATGAGCAGCAAGCCTTAGCCTTAGGCCTAACCACTGTAACTTACTGCCTCACCAGGGATGACAGGAGCCTCCCTGTTGTTTCATCTTCCCATCCCAGGCAATCAGCCCCTTCCCCTGCCCCTAGAGTGGCCCTTCCACCTATAGCACCACCTCTGGGACTCTGCCCCTATCCTCAATAGCCCCATCAATGCCTTGCCCTCTCTTCCTCCCCAGACGGAACCTCAGAACTTCAGACTCCCAGTAGAACTTGGAGCATGTCCTCTCCATCCCTCTCTAGCTCTTCAAGTACCCATGCAGAAACTGAGACCCCGATTGGTGAAGGGGCTTAACACAGGTCATCCAGCTAGTTAGAGGTAGACCTGATAAGTCATTTCCACTCATGCCTGCTCTGTGCTCTGGGTTGGGCCCTGGGGATTCAGGGTGGTCTGGACTCTGTCTGTCCTGAACAAGTCTACATCTACATGGAGAGGCAGACACACAGACAAATGAAAACAAACCATCTGGGCATGTGCAGTTCTAAAGGGACATCCAGGCACCAATGCCCCTGAAAGGGGAGGGATAGGTCCTAATGGGTGGATTTTCACGACAGAGTTTTGAAGGATGAATAGAAATGGGCTAAGTGGTCGAATAAAGGAAGATGATCAATCTGGGAAAGGACATGGCAGGAGCAGGGAGCAAGGTGTGTCTGGGGGAAATGCCCGGTATCTTCCCACTGATAGGATACGAAGATAAATGTGGCAGCAGTTGCCAGGTCCTGAATAATCCCCACAGGTCAGCAGCTGGCTTAGCACTTGTGTGTATTTGTTATCAATTTACTGACACTCACCAACTAGATGAGGCAGGTGTTGTGATTATCATCATCGCCATTTTGTAGATAATAACACTGAGGCATGGAAAGGAAGCTGAGAGTTTGCAGAATATGGATCTGAACTTCTGCCATGTCAGTCACCGAAGCCTGCACTTTTAAACACCGTTTTAGGTTGTGGGGGGTGGACTTGACCCTGCAGGTATTGGGGTGCCACGAGGGAGGCCAGAGCAGAGGAGTGCTGAGGCCTCATTGGTGTTGAGACTCAGGGGGAACAGCTGGACTGGAAACTGGGAAATCTGTGAGGCTATAATTGGATCCTGAAAATGGCAAATGTTGGCAGGTAGCTGAAGAAAATGAGACAGACAGCCTTTCCAGCAGAAAAGACCTTTGTCAAAAGGCATATGCCCTAGTATAAAATAATAATCACAGCTACTGTGTACAGAGCACTTACTGGGTGCTGGTTACTTTACACGAGTCACCTCATCAAACTGATACACAGCTTGTAAGCACTTACTGGGTACCAGGCACTTTATATGGGTTACTTCATCAAACTGACACACAGCTTGTGAAGTGGCTGCTAGGTTCTGGAGCTGGAACATCTGGGTTCAAATTCAAACCCTGACACAGTAGCTGAGTAACCTTAGGCAAACCTCCCTGACATTGGGTTTTCTTGTGTGTAAAATGGGCATATAATAATATTACCCACCTCAGAGGGCTGCTGTGAGGGTCAAACGAATAAATTCATGGGAAGCCTTTAAGCAGTAGTACCTGGCTCCCAGGAAGCGTGATGGAAATATTTGTTGTGTCATTTCTGTTTTGCAAATGGGGAAACCAAGGCTAGTTAGGCAATTGCCCAAGGTGACCAGCGCTTCAGAGGCAGAGCAGAGCTGGGATTTGACTCAGATCATCTGCTTCTGAAGCTGCTTTTCTTGACCATGACCCTGTGTGCCCTCCCAAGATGCTGGGGATGGTCATTTGGAAATCTCCAGAGGTAGCTGTGTGCTTACGGGGACCATGGATAGCAAAGAGGAGGAGAAGGCCAGTGATGGGGAGGTGACTCCGGGGTCTCTCACTGGAGCCCTGGGCTACTCAGGCCCCCAGTGGCACCCCCTCTGACCAGTCCCTGGAGGCCCTGGCGTTTCCCTTGGTGCCGGAGGATTGTTTTCAGCTCTGTCTGGGCCCGCCTCCGGCTCCGGGAGACAGGCCCGGGCGTCACACTCCCTCCTGTCTCCCCATTCTCGTCTGTGGGGTGGAGGCGGCCAGGATTCAGAAAAGGCCCCAAAATAAATGGACCTCTTATCTGATCTCCCAGCCTGGCCCGTTATCTGATCATTACATAATGGCCAGGCTTGCAGCAGGCCTCTCCCGCTGACGGCATGGAGGAGGTGGCCCCAGGCTGCCCCGGCAATCCGGGAGGAACTGGGGTTCCTGGAAGTCTGGGGAGGGGGCAGGGAAGTTTTGAAGGGAAGGAGGAAGGCCCTGTGCTAATCTGCAGGGCAATCCTGAATCGTGAGGGAAGAAGTGGGTGCAAGTTGTGGTCAGTCATGTGCACTGTGACTTTGGCCTCAGTCTCTCCATTTGTACCAAAGAAGGTTGGACTAGGTAACAGCCAAGGAGTCTGTGCTCACTAATAGGGAAAGGGAGAGAGTGGGTGCTCTGAGTGGGTTGGAGGGCTGACCAGTGGGAGAGAAAGTCAGCGCTTGGGTTTACTGGGGTGAATGAATCAGTGACCTAGAGACATCAGTGACCTCCCTCCCATAGGCCCCTCACCTGGAGCCTGCCTCTTCCCAACACGTCATCTCCATCTGAGACAGATGGTAATACTTCTACAATGACTGATTTATAGATTCAATATCCATAATAATAATTAATAATTATATTTGAAAAACCAACTGTCGTTGAGTTGATTCAAACTCATACTGACCCCAGGTGTGTCAGCATATGGGTATGAAGACCCACAGAGTTTTCAATGGCTGATTTTTCAGAAGCAGATTGCCAGGACTTTCTTTCAGGTACCTCTAGATTTGGATTTTCAACCTTTCATTTAGCAGCCAAGCATGTTAACCATTTGCATTACCCAGGGACCTAATTATAACATGACATGACATGACATAACATAACATAACACATAATAACTATTGTTATTTTAATAAGATTTGCCATGGGCCCTATCTTGTGGAATCCTCCCAATAACCTGTGAGGTGGATTCTATTCTTATTTTTACGGATGAAGCAACTGAAGCCCAAAGTGGTAAAATTTGTCACCAAAGCCATATAACTAATGAATGTTGAGCCTGAGATTCAAACCCAGGTCTGCCTGGTCCCAGAGATCTCACCTTAAATAAAAATAAAAATAGAAAAAGTTTATTGTGGTAAAATATATATAACAAAACAGTTGCCACTTTGACCCTTTTCATGTGTATAACTCAGTGACATTCATTACGTTCTCCACGTTGTGTAATCATTGCCACTATCTGTTCCAAATTTTTCCGTCACCCAGGGATCTTACTTTGAACCACAATGCCATATTGCCCTGGCACTCTGGAGTCCCTGGCACACTCAGGACGGGGCCCAGGCAGGGGGTTTATAAGGTCTAGGCCTCCACGGTGGTATAGCGTCCTTGACCTAATCGTGATCTTCCAAGATGGAGCTGGTGGGTGGTGTTGCTGTGGTGTGGGGCAGCCATCTTAGGTCTTTCTCTGACCTCCGCAAGGGCTTGAGTCCAACAAGGCTATGGAAAGGTGGGGAAGAAGCCTGGGTTAGGCAGAAGAAAGTTTCAGGGTTTGGAAGAAGCCTCCTGCCCCCTCCTCTGAGTTGGCGTCAGCTGGACGTGAGGCCAGTCCCTCCCCACCCATCTTTGATCTCCAAGAAAACAGGAAGTGAGCGAGACAAGATGGAGACACACACTTCCAAACAGTCTCCCCTTCTCTGTCCTCCTTTGCTCCTCCGGAGGCACCCCCACCTCCCCACAGCACATTCCTTAGGACGAGGTGTAGGGGCCTCATTTCCTCTTCCTCTTTTGTAGGGTCGGGGTGAAATTCCATTCCCTTCTCTGCGGACTTGTTTCCGGGCGCCCGGTGGCAGGCTCTGTGGCCTACTCTGGCAGCTTCCCTTCTAACCTCGGCTGTCCTTTTGGCTCACCCCGTCCCTCGGGGCCTGGAAACTCACAACCCTCTTCAGACTAGAGGGCCATTCTTCCTTGAGGCACAAGGAAGTCTTCTTCCAGAGCTGAGCTCCCTTTAAAGGGAACTAGACTCAGAGGTGTAACAAACAGAAATATCTGATGCCCAGTTAAATTTGAATTTCAGATAAACAATGAATATTTTCAGTATAAGTATGTCCTAAATAGTGCACGAGACAGACTAGATAAATACTAAACAAGTATTTATTGTCTATCTGAAACTCAAATTTAACTAGGCAAACTGTATTTTATCTGGCAACCCTATAGCTGTGTGACCTTGGGCAAGTACCTTTTTCTCTCTGAGCCCCAGTTTCTTCATCTGTGGAAAGGATCTAACAGGTAATCCCTGATTTACAGCTTGTTCAAGTTACATGTAATTTAGGACTCTGTTTTGTCAGCAGTACAGCATTTCAGCATGTAATTTGCTGATGTTATCATTCTCAGATGTTCACTCACAGAAGTTTAAATGTGCTCTTTTCAGCCCCCAAAAATCAGGTTTTTAAGGATACTGACAATAAAAGACAACAATAATGAAAACTAAAAGAACAAAGAGGTATTTGGACTTACATCAGAACTAACTTATAAAAGAGTCATTGGAACGGAACCCTGTTGTAAGTTGGGGACCATTGTTAAATAGAACTGCCCCATAGGCTGAAATCTTCATGGGAGCAGACTGCCACATCTTTCTCCTGTGGAGCGGCTTGTGGATTCCGATCACTGACCTTTATGTTGGCAGCCAGTGCTTAATCACTGCACCACCAGGGCTCCTTAGTCATGAGTTACCTGAAACTCTGCCTCATAGGGTAGCTGTGAAGATGCAACAAAGGCCTTAGCCCGTGCCTTGCACTCAGTGGTGTTCAGTGAGAACAGTTGTCACCACCATACTCTTACCCGGCCCTCCTGCCACTGTGCTTCTCCAACAGGTCTTGCGGAAACAGTCCATTGTGACCTACAGCCTGTGGACCCTGAGAGGGGCGAGGTGACATACACCACGAGCCAGGTCTCAAAAGGCTGCGTGGCTCAGATCCCCAACACTACCCTTGAAGTTCGAGTCCTCTTCCTGGAGTTTCCACGGGTGAGTGCCCCATGGCAGGGTCGGGTGGGTCCCCAAGGAAAGCTCCAAGGCCAATGGAATGAAGAGGACCTTCCCTGTGGCTGTCCCTGGAGCAGTGGACATCTCATAGGGCCTATAGGGGATGGCATTTCTGGAGGCAAGGTCTGGGATCAGAACAATATTTTGGGATGCCACTACAAGACCTGGGTGGGAAGGGCTGGATTTGGCTGGCAACCGGGTGGAGTGTGGAGAAGAGCCAGGTGGGTTGCAGAGTGCACCAGGTGAGCCACTACTGACAGGTGAGTTGCTGCTTATGCACCTCTGATGGTGGAGAGAGCACTGCTTCCCAACAGATACAGTCCACAGCAGACCAGCTGAGGCTTAGAGAGGGTGCTTCTCTCAACTGAGCCAAATCATCCTCCCTGGAATGCCATTGAGTCCCTGTAACCCTGCAAGATAGCCTTTCCGACCTGAAGACAGCAACGCCGGCCTCAGAGACTACTCTCCCCTAGGTGAACCTTCTCAAGGTCCACCATCAGTTTGTCTAAGCCCTTTTTAATAATAACACATTGACTGAGCTCATGTAATGTACTAGGTACTGTGGTAGGCCTATTATGTTCTAGGAATCAAGTCTGACACATACTAAGCCTCTCAAGGGCCACCTGGCAGTGTCTGTTCTCTCTGCTTTTCAGAGGAGGAAACAGGTTGGTCTAGAGAGGCGAAGTAACATGCCAAGGCCAGAATTCATGTCAGATCCCTGGGGACTCTAGAGGCAGACTGTCACCTGACTGGGCAGAGAATCTGTGTTCACAAGAGGTCTGGCTTCCTGCGCTGGAGGCCACACCTGGCTGATGTGGCCTTAGGTCCCAATAGCAACTTCATGATGTTGGCTTAGGGTCGCTTTGTGGCTAACCTGCCTTCAAAACTGTTAAACTGCCCTGCGTTTGTGCAATGATAAGAAGGTGCCCAGACCCCCAATAGGTGGCCTTGCTCCCCACCGCCCTGCCTACCATGAGGACTGTGGGACTTGATAATCCCTGAATCACAGATAGCGCCAAACACATGTTTGGTGGTTTTCATGGGCATTATAATTTTTTTTCAAAGTTAGTAATGATATGAAAAATAAGATTTCCTTCTGTAAATACAGTTTTTCATTCTGATGTTCAGGTCCCTGTGTCTTCTATGGGTGACTGGGATCTCCCCACACAAAGTTGGGCCAGGCTCAGAGATAGGGATGGTCTCTGCCCCCAGTCAGCACCTAGGTCTATGAGGGACAGTAGTGTAGACAGCCAGGATCCAGGTGATTGGTGCATCTGGGGGAGCACAGGGCACCCCAGCTGCTCTGAGATTAGGCAGGGCTTCCCAGAGCAAGCAACACCTGGAAGGATTGTCAGAAGCTCACCACCAAGAGAAGGGGCCATGACAAAGAGAAGAGGGCACAGTTTCTGCAGAGGCAGAGGAAGTGGGTCTCAGTGGGAATCAGCACATGGCTCTCTGCGGCAGGAGCCTGCAGCTCCCCACGGGAAGATGGGAAAGGTCCCCCGGCACCACTGTAAGGAGTTCGGTCTTTATCCTGGGAGCAATGGCAGTGTTGGAGGGCTTTAGGCAGGCTCATGATGGGGTGCCAGCATTTATTTATTTATTTTTAATAATTTCTTTTATTGTTGTTGGGAATATACACAGTAAACACATATCAATTCAACATTTCTACATATTCAATTCAGTCATTTTGATTACATTCTTTGAGTTGTGCAACCATTCTCACCTTCCTTTTCTGAATTGTTCTTCCCCCATATACATAAACTCTTTGTCTCTAAGGTTCCTATCTGATCTTTCAAGTTGCTGTTGTCAATTTGATCCCATATACACACTTCTTTAAGAGAGTACAATGCTTAAGGAAGGCATTCTTTACTAATCAAGCTAAACTATCGTTTGACTTAAAGAAGACATCAGGAGATATTTTTGATTTAAGGTTTAACAATTATCTCGGGGCAATAGTTTCAGGGGTTTATCCAGCTTCAGTGGTCCAGAAAGTCTGGATTCCATGAAAATTTTAAACTCTGTTCTGCATTTTCCCCCTTTTGATCAGGATTCTTATACAGAAGGGTGCCACATATTCGACATTGCTGTAATTCATGTCAGATTCCATGACATGGCCTGTGGGACTGACTGCCCTTTCTCTGTATCCTCAGCCCTCCTAGGGCTCATGACCTCAGAATCTTGGTGTCACCCTCTGCCTTTTCCAGAGAGCTCAGTCTACAGAACATCCAACTTCTAAGTTAAGGAGCCAGACTTCGAGTTACAGGACTTCCAGGGACATTTGTTTGAGGAAGTGGTGGAGAGAGCTGGGATTCAAGAAATGCAGCGTCCAGTCCCTATCTGTCACTGGGGGTGTCCACATAACATCTGCTCCTTCTCACTCTCTTAAGAGACTCAGGCACTCTTGGGTGTGGGGACTTACCTGGGAATTATGGAGTATCCAAATCTGGCCCATCAGCTGGCATACACTAAAGAGATGTTTGTTGGATCTATGAACACATGAATGAGTGATTGAATGCACTGCTACGTAACCTTAGTGAGGGGAGAAAGGCTAAGAACATGGGCTCTGGACAGTGGCTTTGGTTTGCGTTTTGTTTCTACCACTGATGGGCTGCATTACCTTGAGCAATCACCTCGCTCACTGAGCCTTGGTTTTCATGTTGGGAAAATGGGGATGGTAACAGGATCTGCCTCCTGGAGACTTGTAGTGAGACTCCAATGAGATAGTGCAGGCAGCTACCAAGAGCCCAGAATGGTTGTCGTTCAGTATATGGTAGCTGAAGTTGTTTTTACCTCTCCTCTCTTGGGTCCATTTCTTACCTATCAATCCCCTCATTTTGTAGGCACAATACACTTTACAAAGCATCTTCACATTGGTCGACTAATGGCTACTAGATGAGGTAGGGGCCATGAAGCCATTTTCAGAAGGGCCAACTGAGGCTCAGCTTGGGGCAGTGACAGCCGGATGAAAGGTTGTGTAAAATGGAGCGAGGCTTCCTCCCAGGACGCCCCTGGGCTCCTTGACCCAAGGGATTTGAGGTCATGCAGGGGTGGACGGGAAAGCCATTTCTTGGCTGCCAGGATTTGAAGAAGGCGGCCACAGGTCAGGAGGGATTTGGGCTGGAAGTTGAGCCAGCCACGCCCCTACACTGCCCCCACTGCCAGGCCCTGCTTCTTGCCTCCAGGCCTTTGCCCATGCAGTGCCCCCTGCCTGCGATGCCCTTTATCCCCTCTGTATGCAGTTGGACACCGGGAGCCTTTCCTAATGCCCCCTTCCCTTCACACTCAGTGCTCAACCCCCTAGTGCCCCCAGTTGCTGGTTCCATCGCCAGCCTGTGTTAGGTGCTAAGGATACAGAGAAAGGGCAGCCCCACAGGCCCTGCCTTGAACCACCCACAGGCCAGTGCGGAGGCAGATGTGGCAGTGTGGCAGCCACCCACAGGTCAGTGCTGAGCAGCCCTGGTGTGGCGCGATGGAACCAGCAACTGAGGGCACTAGGGGGTTGAGCACTGAGTGTGAAGGGAAGGGGGCATTAGGAAAGGCTCCGGGTGTCCAACTGCATACAGAGGGGATAAAGGGCATCGCAGGCAGGGGGCACTGCATGGGCAAAGGCCTGGAGACAAGTAGCAGGGGCTGGCAGTGGGGGCAGTGTGGGGGCGTGGCTGGCTCAACTCCCAGCCCAAATCCCTCCTGACCTGTGGCCGCCTTCTTCAAACCCTGGCAGCCAAGAAACGGCTTTCCCGTCCACCCCTGCGTGACCTCAAATCCTCCAATTTCCTGTGGGTGGGTGGCAGATGAGCTGTGGCTGCCAAGAACCTCGGGCAAGAGAGGTTCGGTGTTATGTGTGTGTGTTGGGGAGGTTTGCAGACAGACAGGGCCACCAGGCAGGGGCTCTATCTCACTGGGTCCCTGAAGGGCAGGCCGGAGCCTGGATTCCGGGAGGGGGCTCAGGGTCACATCCTGACCCGCAGAGACAGGAAACCAGCCAGTGTCTCAGCGATTCCCGTCAAGCCGCCGACTGCTCTGATCTTCCGCCTCCCAACAGACCTACAGGCGGGCAGGCTGGAGCAGAGCTGGGGCAACCGCTGATTCAGCCTGGTCATGGGGAAATTCTGGGGAGCCCGGGGACACCCCACCCAGCCCCAAGCAGACAGAGCCCGCCAGGCCCTGGCACTGACTCACGGCTTGTTGGAGGGGCACGCAAGGCTGCTTAGGCAAGCACAGTGGTTGGGAGGGGCCCCAGCTCCTGAATCTACGTACTCCAGAGGCTGTGAGGGGCTGTGGGAAGCAGTGCATTCCTCAGACCTGGGCAAGGGGCCCCTGCTTCCAGCTCCGCAGTTATGGTGTCTCTCTGGCCCTCTTCTAACTGTATCCTTTCCCCTGGGTAAGGAATCTATGAGATGTATCAACCTGGAGCCTACATCCATCCCTCCCCTTCTAGACCATGCTCTGGGCACCAAAACCAAAACAACCTCATTGCTGTGGAGTGGATCCTGACTCATGGGGACGCCATGTGGTACAGAATAGAACTGCTCCATAGGGTTTACTTGTCTGTAATCTTTACATAAGCAGATTGCCAGGCCTTTCTTTCATGGCATCACTGGGTAGGTTTAAAACATCAACTTTTAGGTTAGTCAAACCAAAACACCAACTCACTGCCGTCAAGTCGGATCTGACCCCTCCTTGGGTTTCCGAGGCAATATCTCTACAGAAGTAGATTGCCCCAATCTTCCTCCCAAGGAGTGGCTAGTGGGTTTGAACCACCAGCCTTCTGGTTAGCAGTCAAATGTAGTCAAGTATAAACCACTTGCATAATCCAGGGACTGCTTTGGGTACCAAGACCTCAGAATTCCTACCCAAATGGCACTGTGCCTTCTCCCAGGACTGCATGGGGCTCTTTCTGTCCCTCCTCTAGAGTGGGCTGCACTGCTGGTGGGAGCCTCTTTAGGCCGAGATGCTCAAAGGCTATTTGGGGGTTAGTA